CATAGCGACCCAGTGTTTCCGCTATATGTAGCCATCGACCGTTTCGCTGCCTACGCTGATTAGCTGCTCAACTACAGCCTAGACTTTAAGAATTCTATCCGACCGGACGCATTATTAGCACCATTTGCCAGTGAACCATTTTAGTCCTTAACACATTTGTGAAAGGGAATGAGTATATTAACAGAAATGTATTGGGGCGATCATCGATGCTAGTGAAGGATATGTTCAAAATGTCCGCCGTTGTTTTGCTTGCAGTGCAGAAACCGATTGATGCAATTGGCGAGCACTTCCTCCAATGTATCCCTCGTGATCGCGCGACATTCGTTCACAATATTTTCTTTCAATTGGTCCGATGTACGCGGCCTTGTTTTGTACACTCGCCGTTTCAGATAGCCTGTAGTGACCTGGAGATTCCCGGTATGACTGTGTAAACTATTCTAAAATATATTAAAAGGATGGCTTCCTTATTTATTAGGGAATAGGTGGTTTTCCTGTTGGAACGTTGTTCCCGTTAGTTTGAAACACGAATACGATATCTGCCTCCGACGCGCGCGACTCGACTTCGAACGACGCTCCGTCAACGCACTCGACACCCAACGACACCCTTCCTGGTTAATTCTCTCCTGTTGCCCTATTTTTTTGCATTAGCTAGCGCTTCTCCCGTACAACAAAATTTTTCCCTAGCTTAACTTCTGTGTGTTCTATCCATTGCTTTTGGTTGGCCGTCTAGTCTCGCACCGCATATATAGCGCTCGATCCTCGCGCTATACGCCCATAGAAAAAACCATGGGGGTTAAATCTGGTGAGCGAGAAGGCCACTCCATTGGTCCACCGCGTCCGATCTAATGGTGACCAAATTTGTCAGTGAGGTAAGCACGCAACGTTTTAGCAGAATGTTCAGGTGCACTATCTTGCTGCAACCAAACGGTGTTGTATGCCGGACGGTCTCCAGCTGTGAAAGCACAAATGTCTGCAGCATTTCCAAGTACGACGATGCTAGGAAAAGATAAGGCTTTAATACTTCAAAACAACAACCTACCGGTCATATTCCCGGAAAAGAAATGTGGGCCCAAGGTTTTCTGTCTCGTAAATCCAGCCAAAACCAAAAGTTTCACAGTGTGGTGCATACGTGATGCGGTATATTTTCGTGGGTTGCTGGTAGCCCAACAGTAACGTTTCATTGTTCCATGCAGATGAAACAGTGCCACATCTGTAAAATGACAGAACGAATATCCTCGTAATCCAGAAACTAGCGGCAAAATTCATGCCGCTCCCCCGGATCGTAGGGGTGCAAAACCTGCACTTGAAGTGCACGGAATATCCGAAATTTTCGTTCCTGTAATATCCGGTGTACCGCATATCAGGTCGTGTCACAGTGCTGTGCGATCCGACGAAAGCTGAGATCGGGACTTTTTTACATCTCACTGACTACAGCGCAAGCTGAACAGTCGTCCGTGGTGATGCGAGGTGGTCCGGTTCTCTTCATCTCACACACACTCCTAGTTTGCTCAAACTTCTTCACTAGTTTAAGCACGTACCTGGCGGTGACGGGACGCATTCCCGTGTTCATCGCATTGTATCTTCATGAAGCTGATGCGGCGTTTAAACCGCAATCATCGTACAGCCGAATAATCAGCGAGCGCTGAGTAACAGGCATGTTAAGGGATCCCGACTGCATTGTCTCCTCGCGCTCCATTACCTGTGTCAATGATTCAATGACATTAACAGGACTTGCACTGCCTAACCTCGTCCTCACCTAATCCAAAACACCCGGTTCGCTGATATGCCGTCACGTGCACATATTCACGCCGCAGTTTTGGTTGCGCGCTTTACCTTGCCTACGCCGACTTCGCTGGGTATCGCTGTATCGCTTTGGCCAGCGAGACACACAGATAATCACCGATCGCTCCAACACCTACGGTTAGCCATGACCTTCAGCACTTATCGTGAAGTTAACCGAGAGCTAACAATTGGCGGCAACACGTTGTGGCTGTCTCGCTCGATGACCAAAACAGGATCATATAACTTGTCGGTGCGTCCTTCACCAGCTTACGTCTGCACTCAGCAGAGCCCTACACTAAATCACTCGTATGCCGAGAATTCCATACGTTATCATCACTAAAGTGAGAGAGAAATTCATGTTTCTGCACGCGCAGTAGCTTTTTGCGAATTTCGCTTAACGTTGGATGGTTGTTGGATGGTGGGGACAACAACTGTAAATTACTGGCGTTCACCATAAGCGAGCCACGGTAGGTACATGAACGCGGTCATCGACCTTCTGCCACCAGACTAACTGTATGTGACTAGTCCGGGGGAGTGGGATTATTTACACCTGAAACGCATATAACCTTCCGTCGGCGTCATCCGTCTTCTAGGTTGCCAAAAACACAAGCGGTATATGACTTGGAAATTCATTATCGTTTACTGAAGAGGTTGCATTCCTTGTTTCCTGTGCAACCGAGTTATCAAATTTCTTTTAAATAAGCAGCACCATGGCAGTCAGTTCGAGATACCAACATTTTTGAATAGCATTCAGATAGCGGGTATTTATGCTTTTGATTAGTTGACTTCCCTATTGACAAGGGACTGGCTCATGCATTGATTTTCGATGAGCACAGATGGTAGATACCTTCGAGAGTTAGCTCTGATCTGGTGAGAACACCGCGCGAGCAATGAGCGTACTCGGTATCATGTTTATGACGCAGGAGGAAGAAGTGAATTGCTTAGTACAGTTATTTCACGTCCCAAGCAATCATGGCTGGGCCTTGTGTTACGCATACCAGTGCGCCGACTCCGGCGACGCGCGTTGTTTGCGCGATCGGAATCTGGATGGAAGAAGATGACAAGAAGCCAGCCGATGGCTTAGCCGAGAGGACTAATGGCTCTCACTCCGGAATTCATCGAACTTAATACCGACCAGCTCAAGAGCTGGAGTCCCAGAGATGGTGAACACACTTAGTTGAAGACATTTGCTGACTTGGCGAAGAGCTGACCTCAATGCCGTTTGCCTTATTAATTTCATTCTCGCTGCCCCCTCCACTTAGCCTCCTTCTCCAACCATGTTCCCATTCTTAGTGCATGATAAACACTGAACGAGATAGTACTTTCAGGGGGTAGCGAAAGATGAGATCCACCACAGTCGGACAGCTGCTACACATTCTGAAAAACACCGGTAGTCTTCAGCAGCGCCCATTCCATCTGCTCCCCTTCGTAGGTCTAGAGCTCGCGACTTTACGCGGACACCTCTATGGTTAACGCTACTGGGCCACTGGGGTTAGGCGGTAGTCTCCGTGAGGCGGTACGTGGCTGTGATTGAGCTCGATACTCATCCAATGTGCAAAGAACAGGGTTGACTTTTTGAGACTTTCTTTGCTGAACCGTAACCACTAACTTGAACAATTACTGGTTTTTCGAGAATAACGACAGGAGGGATCTTCGTTAGATTTCGAAGGAGATTCACCAGTTACCTTCACTCAGACAATCACTGCACCACCATCTGGTTGAGTGTAATTTTACGCACAATCTCTCTAGTATTTATCACTTTCAACTAACGCGCAGAAAGATAGTAATGAGATTCTTCCGATCCGCATTCACTGCACACCACGACACCTCAGAAGTTTGGCATTTCGGTATGTCCCTTAGGCCTGTATATATGCACGTAGTTGGGTGGTCATCTCGTACTCTGTGCCACTGTTCCTGACCGCGTCCACGGTCTCATTGACAGATCGCCCATACACATAGTCGTGCGACTAGCATACCCGCTGAACCATGTGACCATTCGTTATGCGGATCGTATCTGATGTGTTCCATCCCCAATCATAATAAGATTCTGCAGCTGTCTGCCCATCGATTGACCGGCTCTAAGCCAGTCTGTCAACCCCAGCTGCTTTGCGTCACAGATGATTTGTGATTTCGCAAGCTTTTGTGTGCACTGGCTGTTTGGGCGCTAATCCGGCGCGATCTTGTCAACCATGGAACGCAAACAATTGTTCGTTTTTTTACGTCATTAATATCTCGCAGATAACACTGCAGACTGGATCTACGTTACTTGAACAATTTGGCTCGCTTCTTACGTGTGACTCAGCGACCGCGTTTTGGTCGTTACAAGTAGCATACATTGGAATATGGACCCGCCTTGACTACAGGTCTCTGTTTTCGGTCGCAATTTTCTTGCTTTATTCATCTTGTCTGTGGGTTCATTTTACCATCAGGTGTATGCGAGCCCCTACCCCTTCTAGTAGGCCAAGCCACCGTTGCACAACCGTCCTCTCTCTGCGTTAACCTGTTGTTATGATGCGATTGTTTAGTCTTCATTTCTCTCATCAAAAACGTCAATTGGTGAAGGAGCTGGGTACGCTCCCAGAACTCAACCTTTGCGTAGCGCACAATAGCTAATCGGCTGAGCGGCCTCCTTGGTGCGTGGGAGTAGCAATTCAATATAGTCGTTTGGCGACACATAAATGACCCCAAAGTGTTCCAACTAGAAGCTGGATCCCAAGTTCTCGACGTTTATTGTGTACAAATGCAAACTGCATTAATCTACGCTTTCAATGTCAATAGATGTCAGTCTCAAGTCGACCAGCTGAGAGTAGAAGGCAACTCAAATCCCTGAATAGTTGGGAAGCACGAGGCATTAACTACTAACAGTGACTGTCATTGGTGAGCAGGCGGTGGGTGGTATGCTTCCCTGTGTGTGTGAACAGCCGATCAGATAATGGACGCAATTCGGGTTAAGGTTGGCATGGAGTGCAGTTTCAGCGTAACAGGATAAAGAAAAATTTCCTATGCATGCCAACAGGAGTTATTGGTTCCAGATTAGCTGCCGAGTGACTTAGATGATTACGGGTGAGGAAAATTTTCGCAACGTTCGCATCCAATACAATAAGCATTTCGTTCCCGAGTTGAGTTTTAATAAATATATTCCATGCTCCACCTCCTTCCGGTAAGCAATTCTCTTCTCTCACCTATTTTCTGCTGGTTTTCTACCTTTACTCATTCAGATCGTCAGCACATCCGCGGCCAGAGGAGCAGTAGAAAAGTGGCTGTTGCAAGTGCAAGACTCCATGCTGCTGTCCGTGAGAGATGTTATCGAGGCAGCTCGTGAGGTTAGTCAATAGATCAAATCTCTCACCGAACAATTATTCCAACGATGTGTATGAACTTTCAGTGTGCATGTGTAAAATAAAGCATGTACTTCGTCTCGTGAAAGCTTTCGCCACGTTCAATTTGCTCTTACTTATAATCACGCACGGACGAACATCGAGCGCGGTCATTTGAGCGTCAATTAATCTTACAAACTTTCGGATTGCATTAACTTCATGTGAGTCATCTACGTAGTTTAACGCACATTTCAATATTGAGCTTCTTGATTCTCACGAAAATCAGGCATACGAAAATGACAATCGGGAGGATTGGGTTTGTTCATGGCCTGGACAAGTGGTTCTTTGTGTGTCGCAAATATTCTGGACTCTGGAGGTACACGAATACCTGGAATACGGAGTCCAGGGTTTGCGGAACTATCATCAGAAATTGGACCAGCAAATGGCGGACATCGTTCGCCTGGTCAGAGGTAAACTGAACGCACAACAACGCATCACACTTGGCGCTCTGGTCGTCATTGACGTTCATGCTCGAGACGTTGTACACGATATGATCACATTGGAAGTAACGTCAGAGAACGATTTCAATTGGTTGTCCCAGATGCGATACTACTGGGAGGAAGATAACGTCAAGGTAAGAGACATTACTAACTCATTGTCTCAGTTGTTTAACAATAACAGTGCAATTACCATCAATTGGCGTAACCGTCAACAGACTTACGCAGCCTCCTTATTCATGACTGCACACAGAAACGTGAAGGCAAACCATCGGTTAATCATCAGCTGAGGTGGAAGAGCCACAGATTACTCATATGCCAGACCAGAATAAACGGACGAAATTTTAGCGAAACTCCGAGAATGGACTGGGCCGAGTAGTGCAATCGACCTTTACCTCGAAATAAAATCGTTTCTATCCGGCTTCCGCTGACCCATTACAAACCTTAAGTGAAGTCATGGAGGCGGTCGTCGATATCGACTTCTGAAGCAAACTTTCGATGAATATACCCGGTTCAACATGATAAGGAAGAGAAATTTTGTCACGTGTTCATTATAAAGCTGGTACACTATTGGATTCAAGGTAATATCATTGAATTATGCTCGGAGCCCATCAGACTTGGTAGGCTGATTTGTCGCTACTGAGGAGGAGATAAAGACGAATTTGTAGCTGGCAATTGTGATCCTTAGATCTCCTAGACACTGGGGGAGTCAAACATGCGTTGCACACACAGCCCCGTTTCCCTCTTAGTCAATATGGTTGCAGCTTGCATTTTCCCTTTATTTAACAATCGTTGCGTAGTTTGCTTGTTTTCCACTTAGGTTCGCCTGACGAACGCAACGGTCAATTACGCATACGAATACCTAGGCAACTCTCCCAGGTTGGTGATCACTCCACTGACCGACCGATGTTATCGTACATTGATTGGTGCTTTCCACCTTAATCTGAACGGTGCTCCCGAAGGTCCAGCTGGAACGGGGAAAACGGAAACCACGAAAGATTTGGCGAAGGCCATTGCGGTGCAGTGCGTTGTTTTCAACTGCTCAGATGGATTGGACTATATCGCCATGGGAAAGGTGAGTTTCTGTTTAACAGTTCTTGTCTAGATCCACTCTTTTATCGATCTGATTTCCGACTCCTAGGACCCTTAATTTAACTGATTTCGACACAGCTACTCCCTTTTGTTCGGGACCCACGATTGGTCAATCTGGCATACAACCTACACATCAGCTCGAAGTGCGTTCCTCCGAGCAACAAGTGTGAGCTCACCCTTGCTGCTTGTGACCTAATTGCGAAGAACCAAGTAAAATCATGCCTAAATCCGTCTAGTCAGCAGTAATCAAAAATCAAGCCCTACCAGTACTCAGAATGCTGTGTGGATTCATGGCACTAACAAATGAAGTCCTGACCCGGACTGCCAACCACTGTCCACTGCACGGGCAGTAACCTGCATGGCAGTGGAGGATGAGTCGGATTATATCGCAGTTAGATTACAATCCATGATGGTCGGCTATCGTCCCGCATGGCTCAGTGGCATAAGCCGATAGCTAGTTATGCCAGTAACCAACGGTCGTAAGTTCGATCCCCAGCAGGATAGTGAGGGAATGCGCACTACTGACGAGCCTCAATAGGGCGCAACAATCACCTGGTGCATTTCCGGATTGGTAGCCCACTCTTACGGCTTATAATCTAATTCGTGGGACAAAATAAAACTGGTGCTGCCAACATTGATAGGCATATTTGGCTAAACTTATCAGGCGTACCAAGTTTACACAGAAAGTCAAACCAAAACTTCTCAAGCAACGAATGAAATGCTGCTGTAGTTATGCAATCGACCACCTACGACGGGCAGGGTTTCGACAGTAACAGACGCATCAGTTACAATTTACATTAATTGATCAGACCACCTAGTTGGACTTTGCCTCCCACCACCGAGGAATATACCATTTATTTAATTATTTATTTGCCAGCACTGAAGTAGTTTAGTTATAATTATGTGCTCCTTGCTGAGCTACTTAGACAAGTAAAAGAGGGCATTCTTGCAGCAAATTGGTAATGTTCTACTAAACTCCATCAGTTACAGCAAGATCAATCTACTGGTCCTGGTTAGTTAACACGACTAAGACGAAAGTCAAGGTACCGATCGCTTAGACAGAGCCAGGGATAGTAGCTCACCAAGCAGGTGATCAGGTGGCTTGCCACTAACCTATAGACATTTTTACTAATAGTAGATGCTCTTTCTGACAGTCATAGACATCAATTCTATCAACTCCAAGACTCATATGATAAACTGCTTGAAATGGTCTTCTGAGTTTGCCACTTGAAGTAACACGCGCCACTGGATGCAGGATTTGTCTTTGTGATACAGTTGTAAAGGAAAGAATCATGAGGTATTAGTGTTCGGATGTTATCCGACCTTAGTAGCTTTGCTGACAACATTTCGTCAGCAGGTTAGGTAACATCATCATCGCAAATTCAGGAAAGCGACTTACCATGACTTGTTTGCTTTCCAAGTCAGATGCCAAGATTTGGCTTCCATTTTTCTCATTGACTTTTATCGCATAGACCTGAGGCGAAACGCTGTTTTGACCCGCAGCGTTTCAAGTACCGATCGCTTAGACAGAGCCAGGGATAGTAGCTCACCAAGCAGGTGATCAGGTGGCTTGCCACTAACCTATAGACATTTTTACTAATAGTAGATGCTCTTTCTGACAGTCATAGACATCAATTCTATCAACTCCAAGACTCATATGCCCGAGCACCAGGGTTTCGATGAACTCACGCGCTTTCCGGCCTGTTGCTTTTCGTGACATTCTCCAGATCAAATTGATGACTTCTGGCGTCCATTGCTGAGTTCTGGATATGTCGACGAATGGCCAGGCTATGCTCGTGTAGCCTCGTGCCAAGACTGCTTCTTGTCAGGCTCATTTAGTAATTTATCATACTTATTGTAGTGGATACTTTGAAGCACATCACATTTTTAGTAAAAGTCGATGTAAGCGAACATATCTTTTCAATAATTCCTCTTCAGGCTTGTACAATTATATGTGGAAAAAACAAATGTTGGACACAATGTAAGGGTTGGGAAAAATACGTTCGGTTCACAATCGCTGACCAAGCATAAACACTATCGGTTATGCCATAAGTGCAGCGTACACAAAATTCCGTGAGCCGAATCCCGCAGTTCGGGTGGATCAAGACAGTTTTAACGTGCGGTTCGCAAACTCAAACTGCGGTGGCATCCGTTGATTCAACTAACCGACTACGAACGCAATTTGATCTATTGTCCAGTGCCGGATAGATAGCATTGCATGGACCCATGAGTAAGGGATTTTGATGTAGTTAAGGGCGGTTCATCGCAGCCAGTTTCCAAATCAGATGGTCGTCCACATGCCCGGAAACGTACTAGACTGCAATTTCAGCCTGTTGGGCATCATCAGTAGTACCCATCCATCGGATCCATCAGGATTAGAACCCATGACCACCATCGGCTTGAAGCGCCAGTCAGCAGCTTATGCCACTGGGCCACGGGGTACAGCTTCGGACCGTCATGATTTACAAGCTAACTGCGATATAGCGCGTCTTATCCTCCACTGTCATGCAAGTTACGAACGTTGCAGAGCACAGGGTTGGCCCCGAAAGACTCGACGTTCACTAGCAGTATCTATATACGACATAGCATTTAGAAACTGTCAGCGCGGATATATTTTGATGTACTCACGAGTAGAGGATTTTGATATAATTAAGGGCGGTTCATCGTAACCATGTTCCAAATCAGATGGTCGTCCACATGCCCGGAAACGTACTAGACTGCAATTTCAGCCTGTTGGGCATCATCAGTAGTACCCATCCATCGGATCCATCAGGATTAGAACCCATGACCACCAGCGGCTTGAAGCGCCAGTCAGCAGCTTATGCCACTGGGCCACGGGGAACAGCTTCGGACCGTCATAATTTACAAGCTAACTGTGATATAGCGCATCTTATCCTCCACTGTCATGCAAGTTACGAACGTTGCAGAGCACAGGGTTGGCCCCGAAATACACGACGTCCTCTAAACAAATCGTTAACTACAAAGTAGAGTTATAAATGGCATAAACTTTAGTATGGTTATGACACAAAGTTGTTTTTAAGTTTCAGGACAACGGATGTCTTTTCGCACAATTAACGTGTCAGGTATGGTATAACGGATTAGAGATACGCCCGTATGCTGGCAAAAGTTGCGCTATACATATTTTGGCTGAGGATGTTGATACACACAGACAGTGAGCCATGAAGAGGGTGACTTGTATCAGTAAGTATTCCGGAAGTAAGTCTTATGCAAGAATTGTGCGTGTGGACTCAAGTATCTCAACAAAGTTAGGCTTGGGAATTTCACTACCTCGAGCTGATTGCATTAGTTACCTAGATAAAAGGTTGAATTGATTCCTTAGAAAACCAGGAATTATCATGTTGGAGCAACAGGTCTAAAGGGGTAAGACACATGCAGTGATAATTCTCGGAATGTAGTGACGAGGGACGAAGAAGGATGGCAAACCAAGGGAGTAGTACGAAAGTCACCTCACCCTTGTAAAAACTTCGTTAACTTGGAGTGACTAAGAAAAATCATAACTGATTATTATTCTTAGGTACTTCACTGACAATCTGAAGTGCAAATTCTTGCCATCTACGTGAATTTCGGTGCACTCGATGAGAAGTTGCTGATAAGCATAGGCTTTATGTAGAGGGAAAATGAGGTTATTGCATTTTGATGCGAACAACGATAGAAAGTGAGCTCCTGATCATAATACAACGCTGTGCATATTCACTTGTAATTTAGCTGGTGCGGTTAGTACATACCTGAGATAACATTGCCTGCATAGTTCAGCGATACCGCATCGACAGGTACAGGTACAGTGGCGAGGTAGTTGGTAAAGCGGTATGGGAATAGTATGGCCTTTTGAAGAACTCCAGTGTCTATGGTGGGTGGCGAGAAACTTTCGCCTCCATGTTGGGTAAGTTGGGAACGCCCAGAGAAGTTATCTCTCATAAGGTGGACAAAAGATTTAAATTCCGGCATCCGGCAGGTCACTCAAATAGAAGCTCACGGCTTACATTGCCGCAAACATTACTGTAATCGAGAAAAAACATGCCTACTGCTTTCACCTTGTTGCCTTGTGACGACGGCACTGAATGAACAGGATGAGCTAACGCGCCTTTAGTTAACCTCAAAATATGATAAGTACACCTTAGCGGCTAATCTGAGTGAGACTTTTTTTATCAAAGTTTCACGAATGATGTTCTCGAACATCTTCAAGGTAACCAGTCGGTATTTTTCCGAGCCTTGCTTTTCCACCGGTGTAAGTCTGGCACATCTCCAGATTTGATTTGGGTAACTGGTGAGCTGAATTTTGCAATTTAGCTGCTGAGAAAGTGTGCCTGAAGGCTCACCCACTCACTATACACGCTAGCTAGATGTGGGAAAAACCTCAGCTACCGTGCCGCAATACATAGAGGAAAAAAGAAGAAAAATATGCAACAGGTGCAAATCAGCTGAGCTACCGGTAACGGATGGGCATCGTTCCGGTAAGCTACCTGCCGGCTACTATGCAGCAGGAAAAGAGTACTTTAATATGCAAAATTATAAAATGATAAATAATGAGATCGTGGTTGGAGGGGGAGGCTAAGAGGGATGAGGTGAGACAAAGAAACTCACAGCACGAACGCCACTGAGGTCAGATCCAAGCCATGTCAGCAAGTGGATCCAGCCAAACGTGTTCATCGTCTTTCGGACCCCAACCAGGGAGCCGAGACGCTCCAACCGAGGCCAGCTCCGAACTGAGGACCTTCATTCCTCTCGACCAATTCAACGCTTGGCCACCTCTCCTCTTCTTCCATCCACACCCCCAGCGCGCAAACAACGCAAATCGCGGGAGTCCGTGGACTGGCATGCGTAACAAGTGGCCGATGCATCGGATCCTGGTGCGTGAAATAACGGTGCTGAGCGGTATGTTTCCTTTTCCAGTGCTGTAAACCAAGCGTCGAACACGCTCGTTGCTCACGCGGTGTTCCCAACAGATGTGAGCTAAATTGCGAAGGCACCGGTGGTCGAATGTAACTAGCCTCT